GGCTGCCTATTAGTAGTGACACGTTGGTCTCTCTACTTCGAACTTGCCCGCTTCTTGCATTGTTTTGGCGCCAGTTCTTGCTTCTCTTTACTTTTATTTCGCTGTCTGCCTTGTAACGTTTTTCCTCTTTACACTTGTAGTTTTCACTTCCGTCTTACGTTTTGTCCATTGTGCAGTAGTTGCATCTGCGATTGTTTCTTATTTCGAATTTCCACGTACTACCGCTTTCCCATCAAATTGCCATGTAGTGGTGGTTTATTGTGCAATTTTTAAATTTAAATAAGATATGCGCTTTTGCTGGTAACGGCGGTTTCGCGCAGTTTCGGTGTGGATTGGATTCAATACTATGCCACGCTTAACATGTTCACTTAAAGTGGCAGGTTCCGGGAGTGTGCTCCTCTTCCAATGTAGTCTCGTTATCCCACTGATTATTTTAAATTCGTGGAATCACTGAATGCGGAAAATTTTGGCTGTTTTTATACCGATACATCCTAAATGTCTCCGAGTGTTGGAGGATCAGATGCGCAGAAGACTTTCAGGCCTCGCATAGTTTTCTCCTCTTGTCGACTGGTAGATCGGGGGACGACGCTTCGCGACGTTTCATTGTCCGGACATTACAGGCATGAAACGATTAACTTGGTCTAATTTCTTCATCTTGCAGGGGTGCTCAAATCACTCTGGGCCTATAGGCAGCAGGGACGTCTAACGTAGCCATGGGATACTACTAAGCCCCTATTCTAATCCAGTCACGCGATCCTCACTTTCTAGCATTCATTCGTCAGCAGTTTTATGCTGTTGAAGCAAGACACAACGTGAAGTTGTGGTCGTTTTTTCGCTGTACTTGTGGCACCTTGACCTGTTGTTACCCTAATTGAAGTATGAAATCATCTTGCATTCTAATCAGTTACTTTCGTGAGTTTGAAAGGTTAAAATAGCTTGCTACATACCTCTAGGTATTGCTGTGCCCTGAGAAAAGGGTTTTGCCATTCATAAGTCCTGCCATCGATGCTGATGTAGCGCTTTATTTATGGGGCCTCGTTGCTACGTTTCTCCCTACAGCGACATTAATCAATCCAATTGACACTTATCGCTAAGCAAATGTAAGTATCTTGACTGTCTTATCTCACGCGGCTTAGCTTTCAGTCAACATAACGAGCATTATTAACACTCGTTGGATTCATTTACTACTAACGAGACATTCAACTGATGGCTTCCAATAAATGGGCCCATTTTTGTACATTAACATAAATAGGCGCTTCAGATACACAACCAGTCAAACGTGTTTCTTGCAGTTTTTACTAAACATAAGAAAACACCCGAAGAGGGGGAATGCAGCGCTTTCTTTGACGATGGCGTAGATGCAACTTGTGGCAGATAACTTCTCTCTCTCAATTCGTGTAGTTTCAGGCATGATACGCTGTCATGACACACTCACCTTTCTAATGTGGATCCAAGTTGATTTTTTTTCAAACTAAGGGGCAAAGTTTAATCAAAAGGTAAACTGTATAACTGTCTGATGATGGTGAAATTACTCTGGCAATTAAACAGACTGTCGCAGAAATTGCGCTGGTTTTAGATCTCAGTGTCAAATTGGCATGTACCACCCTACAAAGTCTAAATACACGATGCTAAACTGATAAGGCCTATGGCAAGTTAATGGAAGAAGGCATACTTAAATCAACTGCCATGCTTGCTGCACGTCACAAATACGTGACACGGCTTTTTTTTATCAATTGGATGCAACCGATTACGCCGTATTTCGGCGTTAATTGATTGCTCGAGTTTAAAAAAAACATTCTTGTATGGCCATTTACATTTTTCACCATTTTTAAGCAATTTAACTCCACACAGAATGTATTTATTGCCTGTGTGTATTGCACGCGCATGAGGTGTTGCACACCCTGGAAGTGTGTGCTTGATATGCTCATTCACCCACCCAAGGGATAATGAAACAAAAAAGCACAAATTTGCCAGTCAGTGAAAAAGACGGAGTACGGGTTGATGGTCAATAACCCTTAGTGCCTGTTAGCTGCTAATAGATGACGCGGCGGAGTAACTCCTACCACCCCGTCCAATGATGTAGTTGCCTCAACTGAGAAGGGAGTCAGTTTAAACCTCCAACTACTTCTGCTTCACAATGCGTGAGTATAAGCAGCTGCATGCAATTCGCAAGCCCCAATCGACAACTGTATGCATCCATTCACTCACCTCTTTGGATCATGTGCCCATCTGTCAAGATCTGGAAAAAAGACGCGCTACTGCTGGTTGTACCATGGTACGACGGCTACTCACACGCCTCTAGTTCATTGGTGCTTCAGAACAATAGCATCAGGTAAAGCTATCACCATTGTTGCAGTTACAATTCAGTTTGTGGTTTCTCAAGGGTCAGCATCGGCTAGGATCAAAGCAGTGAATTTAGAGCACGTGAGGAGCACCACCTTATGGGTTTCGCCATCGAGCAGTCTGCAAATTTCAGCCGCGCACATGCTGTCTCAGAGGGCGAATCATGACAAATTTTTTTTGAGATGCTTGCCACCTCTATCCATCCATGTCAGTGAAATTGGCCCACCAACACGAATAAGGCGAAAATCCCTCCTAAGGTAAACAACGAAATTTATTTGAAGAAAACAACGAGGTGAAAATGTATTTAGAGGGGAGAATAGAACAATTAATTATAAAACGCTATGCATTCACAACTAATGATAATCAGTTCGCAGTAAGATGGAAGTCGAAGAAGGATTGAAGTATCGAGGCGTCACAAAGGGATGAAAACGTAAAATGTTTTTAATGGAATAAAGTAAAGATACCCTTTTTAAAAGACCAGGACGGAGTACAATGTATAGACTAGTAGGCGGCTGCAAACTCCTTGCCTTTCTGGATGCTCTTCTTCAGTTCTGGCATTGCCTTCTTCACCAACTCAATCTCATACTCATTCAGCTTGCCAGCACCAAACACCTTCTCCACACCGTTCGGCTGCAAAGGAAACAACACGTGATTAGCAAACACACTCCCACGTTGCCTCTTCACGACTTTCCCTCAACCAACGAGGCGAAGCCCACGCACTCTATCAGTAACATCGACAGCAAAAGCAACACCAACTGACTGCAACGGACAATATCACCAGTCATGTCAGAAGAGGACAGACACAGAGCAGATCCACACACTCACCCCAAGGAGTACAGGTGAGGCAAAGAACTCCGTCTCCGCCACATCACACTCCACGAACGCGCACTCCACTATATCCGCGTGCCCCTTCATTGCATGCAACAGGGAGTTGGCGAAACGTGCCCCCGCATAGGCCATCGACAGGGTTGCCGATCCCTGCAACACAAATCGGCAGATCAAGTAAACACATTAGACAGATTTAACCACACTCTCCACACCCATTCCCAGTCGCCTGCCCATCGTTCTTCATGCCGGTGTGAGACAGTGCATACTTATCTGGGCTACTTCTTTTGGGTACTACAGCATGGGCTTCCACCCAGGATTGCCCTCAGGGTTGGTGCGCATGTTTTCTACCCTTCCACCACTTTACCAACCTTAAGTCGGACACACTGCAGATGTAAACAAAACCCATCTCCTCAGGCCAATGAGAAGGTCATTACTCAGAAAACAAGAAACCCAGTCCTCGGGCTTCCTGATCATTTCTGGCGAATTCGTTTAAAGCTCAGTGAATGCTGAGTCGTAACCGAACCAGTGGGTGGATTTTACCACTTCACTGGCATGACATTCACATCATGTCCATCCTCCCTACTTTCGGAGCTACGAATCGCAAACCAGATGCCGAGTCAATTCCACTGAGGCACACGCAACCAAGGAGACTAACAACAGAGGATGCTACCACCAATTCATCCACGTTTGGACACATTTGCAGCCAACGGAAAGCTACCACTAGCGTACATTCACTCAGGTAGATGTCTGCATTTCCAAACTCCACGACTCTACCTGACTCACCTCCAGAGTGCTTCATCGACAAGGCACATGCCACCGAAAGAAATAGACTGCACACATTCCAGAATAAGGAGATTTCACTAGAGTATTAATGCATCGATGCACTGTTCAACCCAGGTACACACGACTAGCATGGTGCTGTCATTGCCGCTGGCATTTCACTGATTTACTCCCAGGCACGTGTGTTTTAACGCCTCTCCAAATCCGCCTCACTGGCTTTGGCTGCCCACGCTTCGCCTCTACCTCGCCACATTCTGCCTCCTCCAAGCAACGCCAACTACTACGGACAAAGTCGAGTGAATATGACTCTCCACTCACCTGCTATGAGAGATCACAATGTGCCATTAACCATTGTTACAGCATGATGGAAAGCTAGGCGAACTCCATGCCTTTTGGCAGCAGCATACCCACTTACCACAAATTAACAAGGCAGATGTCGGGTGTACTGATAAGTCACTCCCATCTGCCATGCTTCCTTGAGAGACACATTACAATGTCCAGCCAACTGCCAACTACAACCGCAACCTCAACCCATCAATGCACTTTTCACGCTTCATGGAAATGGAGGCAAATTCTCCCCGCCTCGAGAACACTCCTACACCCGCAACCAGTCCCCCTAAGCTACACTATTAGGACAGCCATCCACTGCATTGACAATACGGTCATCCAATTGGGAAGCCATTCCCGTGACACCTACGACACTGCTTCCCTCCTTCTTTCCTCTTCGTACACATGCAACAAAGGCCAGCTGCAAACAAAACACCTACCGCGCCAGCCTTCGCATTGACCACTTCAGTGCCTGCGTTTTGTATTCGAGCCACCAATTCCTCACGTGCTTTCTAGCCAAAGGGAAAAAAACAATTACATAAATACACATGCATCAGCCAGACAAATGACTATCAGCAGCTAGTTCGCTACCCAATTCAAATGATCCCATCACACCCTGAATTTTCACATGACTGAAGTGTGGAGGCGCATGAGCATCAAGAAAACAGTGAAAGTTCAGAACAATATGCTTACCAAATTAGGAAAGTGCTTTCAACACCATAGGTACAAATAATCACCATGCCTCCTGCTGGTAAAGGCATTACCAAAGGCCTGTTACTGACACCAGTATGGGGACAAGTGAGCAACAAAAATGGGAAAGGTAAAAGTTTACAAATAAGAACAATTCAGAAGCAATTTGAAGAACAACACTAGCACTGTCCCAAGCACTAAGCACTTTTTGCTTAATCCACTAATGGCAGCACTTCGTTGTGTTAAAACTGGATGTGGTATTATTTCCCGCATGCGGTCAGTTTAATTACCAATTAAATGGGGCAAGAGATAGACTCACCTGAGCGAAGTTTACAGATGGAGTACATTGGGAGAGTACTGGGACTATAGTGTTGCCTGAATGACCACCGATGACGGGACAGGACACCTTCGAAACGTCCAAACCCTATAAATGCACAAAGGGAGATAAAATTGCATTCGATTCACAAGAAGTTGGCTCCCGAAGCACCCAAAACCATGATACTGCCCCGTTTCTCACAACATGACAGCTTTACATGCAATGACGGGCAAGTCTCATCAACCACCCGCCAAGGACATTACATTTAGGCACCATTGGCAGCTTTAACCTGCGCATACATATCACCATCGGATTGCAACAAGTACTCAAACAACTACCTAGCATTAAATACTCCGTCCCACTCCGCGCCCTCACTCAGAATCTACTTCTCCCACCCAAGTCAAAGCACATCAATCCCCTCGGACAGTGAGAAAGACGAGTGCACTCACCTTCGCCTCAGCGATGAAGGTATTCGATCGGGTGATGTCCAGAGTAGTGACACCGAACAGTCTCCTCGGGTTGTACACACCCTCTTTCTTCAGTATCTCCGCCGCTATCGGCACCGTGCTGTTCACCGGGTTCGTGATGATGCAAATCATCGCATCAGAACAGTACTTCCCACAGGCTCTGGAAAGATCCGCCACAACCGATGCATTCATCGAAAAGAGGTCATCCCGAGTCATGCCTAAGTTACCAAATACAAACATAGACACAGACACAGACGCAGACTCAGATGTAAATGCTACCCTCTATCACATGCGCACACACAGGCGCACATTTACACTCATAGGCGTAACAAGCCAACTCCCATCGCATTCACTCAGCACACCTCCTGTTAGGCGATTACAACACACTGAATTGTGAACACTTCAAAACACTAACTACTCCACAGGAAAGGAGAGAAGGGGTGGTAGCGTACAAGCGAAACGCACCAGGCTTTCGAGGCACACCCGCAGGAATGATTACCACCTTCGCACCGTCCAGCGCCGCCTTCAGGTTGTCGGGTCCGGTGTGACCAGTCACCTTAGCACGAGTCTCTATGTGACTCAGATCCGCAGCAACTCCTGCTGCATTCGCGATATCGTAGAGGGCTATTTCCGAAACAAATAGGGATTGTTTCATGAGGAGTGCCAGTGGTTGGCCAATGCCGCCACTTGCACCCAAAATCGCGATCTTCTGTGGATTCTACAAGGGAACATCTACTTAGAATTCACTGTTGGTACTTGGGTGGAGGTGGAAAAGAGTTTAGCTGAGCGTCCCAAGACAAAGCCAATCTTGCGCAGACAATTCATTGCTGACAAGTGCAAGAACTGCTACCGAGATCCTGCAAATTGGATTAAGGCCGGTGGAAGCACATGATACGAACAAACAAATTTACCAATCTTATGTGGCGTACTGCTAGTTTACTCCAATATATGCTGCTCAACCACTGTCACATTTTAAGTTTATTTACTTAATCCACTTCCAGCAAATAAAGTGGTAATTGTGAAGTGCGAAGTGATGGAATTGTCATTTTTCTACTTTGGGGAGACAAGAATAGGAACGAGTAGGGATCTTATTAATGAAGATGGACCTGCATGCATACAGGATTGATGGTAGGTCATTACCTTTGCAGTTTTGGAAGATTTGAAACATTATTTTTAAAATGAATTACCCTACACAC